ACACACACACACACACACACACACACACACACACACACACACACACTACAGGCTTAGCACTGATATGCTTTTTACTCTTACTTTTATAGTAAATGTTCAGCCACAATTTGTTTTTTCACTTCAAATAAGGGGTCATCAATCTGAAAAGGTTGAGAAACAGTGATCTAATCTGATCTGCATAAAAGCCACAGAATTTCACACATTCAAACCCATCAAGTACAAATTGGAGAGAGTCCAGCAGAGGGCAAGGAAGATGATCAGGGGGCTGGGGCACATGATTTAGGAGGAGAGGCTGAAGGAACTGGGCTTATTTAGTCTGCAGAAGAGAGGAATGAGGGGGGATTTGATAGCAGCCTTCAACTACCTGAAAGGGGGTTCCAAAGAGGATGGATCTAGACTGTTCTCAGTGGTACCAGATGACAGAACAAGGAGTAATGGTCTCAAGTTGCAGTGGGGGAGGTCTAGGTTGGATATTATGAAAAACTTTTTCACTAGGAGGGTGGTGAAGCACTGGAATGGGTTACCTAGGGAGGTGGTGGAATCTCCATCCTTAGAGTTCTTTAAGACCCGGCTTGACAAAGCCCTGGCTGGGATGATTTAGTTGGGATTGGTCCTGCTTTGAGCAGGGGGTTGTACTAGATGACCTCCTGAGGTCTCTTCCAACCCTGATACTCTCTGATTCTAAGTATGTTCAAATTCTTTGCTAGATCGGGGTCTGTCCAGAACCCACCTCTGAATGCTACTGTAAAACAAACGGTGATAGTTAATTATTAAGTTGAACAAAGTCGCAACAGGGGAAAAACAACCTCCTACACAGTTTTTTCCCTAAAGTTTTATTTTTTTTTTAATAGTAATGACATGAGAACAGAAACATTATTTTTCACTTCATTATACGAACCCCACCCCTCCCAAAAAAACAACCCCAAAAAACCCTCCACAGTTTTAAGTCTGTCCAGGCTTGATTTCTAAGTCCACTGAGCAATACAAATTGAAGTTGGGTTTTGTTTGTTTTCATTTTTTTGAAACCTACAAAAACACTCTTTAAATATTAGAAAAAAAATGATTTTTTTTATTTTTTTTTTTTTTAATTCACAAGAACGTCCATCTAAAGTATCACTGGTTTTTGTGGCAGTGCAAAAATGCACTCAGCGTCAATTCTCTTACAGTACAAACCACTTTTTCCTCCCCTGTAACTTTAAAAAAAAAAATTGTCAGTACTGTAAGAATTTTTCATTTTTATTTTTTTTTAAACAGAAAAAAATTTTTTTTTGTAACTTTTTTTTTTTTTTTTTTTTTTAAAAACCACATCCACTAAAATACAACAGCGCTGGGTACAATCAGCAAAATGAAATCGGTTTCCCCACTGGGGGAAAAAGAAAACAAAAAACAAACAAACAAAAAGGATCGAGTGCGGGAGGAGGGTCGGGAAACAGGGACAAGGACAGACAGACGGATACAAAACAGCAGGCAGGAGGTGTGGGGGAAGAGACATCATAGGCATGTTGCATCAGAACACACCCAGTGAGAGGGGTGGAGGGGCAGGAAGAGGGGGTGAAGAACCCTAAATTTTCATCAGCACTTGAGTCCCGTTGCTAGATCTACAAGGATTGTCTGTTACTCTTTGGGGAGGGCATCCTGTGAGCTGGCTGAATGACACACCCCAGCAAGAACCTCCCCAAGAACTCCCTCACCCTACTCAAGTCAATAGTATGACTTCCTCTTGGGACTTGGAAGCCCCAGGACAGTTTCAACTCAGATGGGGAAACCCGCTGCAATTTGTGGAGTCGCAACGGGCTAGAAATGGGGATCTTTTAATCCCAAGAACCCTCTGGCTCCAATTCAGAAAAGCACTCGCTTAAACCCCATTGAAATGAAACATGTGCTTTCCTGAATTGGGGCCAATGAGAAAATTCAAACAAGGAACCTGCGCGAAGGGGGGTTTGGAGAACTACTCAGTTCAAATACACCCTAGCATTGTAAAAAGGAAGCGTTAAATATATTGGGCCCGATCCTGCAGTCCATACCTGGGCACGAGTTTGCAAGGACTACAGGACTCTGGCCCAGAAAGCATACTCTGTGTCGAATTCCTAGCAGAAAGGCGGGGGAGGGTGTCTTCTGTTGGGCACAGACCCACCTAGGGTGGCCATGGGCCCCCTTCCTATGCTGTGACTCACTTGATTATACCCACGCTGGGCGTTTTGTCCCCATTTCCATATAAAGCCCCCCCAGTGGAGACCTGATTCGACACACACAACCCACGGCAGCTGCCCTCTCTTCAGAGGGCGTGGGGGGTGGTTAAGGGTGGTGTCCCCAGCACACCATCTCCACCCTGAACCGTTGTGGAATCCAAATCCTAGAGCGCAGGATATCCGAGTAGCCCCACGCACGCTGTACTGGGGGGCAAGAGTGGGACAGACAGGCCTAAAGTCAACCAAGAGGGGGCTCAGCCCACCCCCATGCTCATCTGGGAGAAGCAGGGGGGGGGGCTGCGATGGAAAGCGGGGGATGTCATGTGGATACAGCCCAAAGAGCAGCAACCCCAACCAGTCCCCCCCAAATCTGCTCCAACTCTCCCCCCCTGCGGCTAGACATCCAGGCCTCCCAAATCCAGGCATCCCTGCTCTGCCCATACCCCCCTGTGGCCCCCAAACCTGATACCCCTCCCAACACATGCTGCTAAAATCCATACCCGCTGCCTGCCACAACCCTCACTGCCACCCCGCTGGAAGCTTCACCCCTCTGAGGCTGCCCTAATTTTCTCTACAAAAACAAACTCATCACATTTGTGCCCCCTCCCCCACCCCAGACTGTGACAGAGGAGAAGGGACTCCATAATACTCTGATGGGATTTGGCTATGCCCGATACTAAACACAGGGGGGCTGCCTAAATCCTTGAAACATACAAACAGGAAAGGAAGTGACAGAGCCCAGAATTCCTGTTCCACGCGGCCCCGCTTTCTGCGCTCACCGGAGCTTTGGGAGCAGGCGGCGCGTCAGGGGAGATCGGGTCCTTGGAGGGGGGAAAAACGCGACAGTAACACGCCGACCTGGTGCTTAGATCTGTTACTGCTCAATACTGTCACTGTCGCCCCGCCCGGTGCTGGGGAGAGGAAGTGGTAGAGAGAGTTGTTGGGTGAGGAGGGGAGGGAAGAGGGTGGCAGGGCTTTTGGGGGGGGGGGGAAGTAATGGGGACCCAGTTTTGTTTTCCTCAAGTGTCTCTTAGTAAGTTGGGCTCCCCGGTCTACATCGGGGGGGGGGCGTGGGGGGGGGCACAGAATGCAGCGAGATGAGAGATGAAATTGCTGGTGCTGTGAATGCATAAAGGGGGAGGGGAGAAGGAGGGGGAGTCTAGTCCCAAAAACACTGTCTTTGCATTCACTGGCCGTAACAAAAACCTGGCAGGAACAAAATCCCAGAAACTGAGCCACCTCTTCCAATCAGTGGTGGATTTTGCAGAAAGGGGGAGCAGATGGCCTGGACGCCGGCTGCCCAAATCTATCCACCCCTCATGGCGAGGGGAAAGGGTAAAAAAAAAAAAAAAAAAAGACACCATTATTTAAACACTGGATTTTTCTTCCCCCGTCTCAGTCACTTTCTACTCCCACGCTCTCCGGGTGAAAGCGCCCCAGCCTAGCCCAGCCCAGCGGAAAGGGGCAAGGAACTGGGACCCACTGACGTGTGGGGGCGAGGTCACTCTCTGATCTGTAACAGCCAGTGACCCAGAGAATGGACACGGAAGGCGGCAGGGCCTTTGTGCTGACACACACACGCACGGGTTATGTACAGAACCACTTACACATCCGTTTAAAAACCTCCTACGGACGGGGATGAAATGCTAGTCACAGCTCTCCACCGGGAAAAGGAATATTGATACCAGTCTATATATTAATATATAGCCCGTTATATACGAATATAGATATATGCGTAGCGGAGAGTCCTCTCCTAGAAGGAGCAGCTGCCTGGGAGCTCAGATCTCAGCCGCTTGGGTCTACGGATAGGTTTTTTGGATCAAATTTCCCCAATGTTCCTTTAAAAAATAATAATAATAATCCGAGCAGTATCATCGGAGCTGGTAGCAAAACTGCAGTTGAACAAATTGGGCAGATGGGCCCTGAAGCTGTGAGATTGGCGGGCGTTGCCCCCATCTCTCTCCCAACCAATGTGGCAGCCCGGCTTTGGAACAGGATGGCACAGCTGGGTGCCTTTGGCAAGCACCATCCTGCCCCTATTCCAGACACATGCTTCTCTAGGCCAGGCTGATGCCCGCTGGGAAGTTTGTGCCGATCGCGCCCACCTCCCCCCCAAAAAAACAATCTGCACACCGACCTGACGTTGGCGCCGCTCATGTTTGCTGTGGGCAGCGGGGGGGGGGGGGGGGGGGGGGGTCGCGAAGCCAAGCCGTGCGGCTAGCCAGAGACAGAGATTCTGATTATAAAAAGATGGATCTTTCTCGCTTTATAAAAGAAAAAAAAATAATAATAATACAACACCACGACAACCACCGACGACACAGATGATCTCTCCTTGCAGCTGAACCCTGCTCCCGTGCCCGCCCCCTCCCAGTCGACAAATGCCCCGTTCCAGTACAATAATTGGTCACTTCATTGTAAAAAAAACAAATTCAAAGCTGGGATTCGCCTGCCACCGTCTTTGCCCAAATGCTGGTTGAATACGACGGATCAACCATGTTTCCTTTGGGTGAAGCAATGATCAGCTCCCAATGGTATGCTCCGTAACAGCCCCCTAACTCCCCCGCCCAGTGCCAGCCCTTCCCGCCCCTGAAACTGGGCAACATCTTTTTAAACTCCCCCCACCCCCACCCCGCCCCAAACACACACACACACACACACAAAAATTCTCCCCTGTCCCCAGAGGGAAATGCCGCGTGGTAAGTTCGTTCCAGTAGCTCTTAAGTGCAGCGTCAGACTGTACAAGACCGTCCCCTCCTCCGGCTGGAGAGGCAAAGGGGGAGATCGTCCCGACGGCTGAGTCCTGAGCCGCTCGGCTCGCGTGCCGCCGGAACAACGCTCTGCGCCTCTTGCCACATTTTTGTCGCTGTTTTGTTGTTGTTTTAAAAGGGATTGGGGGGGAGGGGGTTGTATAAAGTCCGGAGGGGGTAGCTGGAAGTTGAAGGGGAGGGTGGGGGCAGCTGCGGGGCTTTGAGGTGTAAAAATCCCCCTCCCTCTCAAAAAAACAAAAAATAAAGGATCGAATGCAAACTCTATGGGGAAAAACACAGAATATCCCCCCCTAAAACAAAGCCTTTTATCAGCTGCCCCCCCCCACCCCATTAGTGTGAAATTCTTTACGAGGGAGGGGGAAAAAAAATTAGCCACAGTGATTTTCCCATCCCCCTCCCTGCAACCATCAACCCAGATCTCCAGCCGGGATATTACTGGTCGGGGTGGGTGGGGAATTACTGAAAGTCCGGCAAGAAGGTGGCGCTGTGGGCGTTTCAGTTGGAGTCCGAGTCGGAGGAATCGCCCGAGGAAGAGGAGGAGCTGCTGCTGCCCTCGGAGTCATTGTCATCTTCCTCTTCGTCGTCATCCTCTTCGTCATCGTCCTCATTCTGGGGCGAAAGGCGAAGAAAGGGTTAAGAGTCTGGGGCTAGGGGTGGCTGGGGAATCGCAGGGTCTGTCTGCGCTGGGGAGACAGGCCCTGGGATGGTTCCGTCTGGCCGAACCCCACTGCACACAGGTTTCCCACGCCAGCGCCGCGCACAGATGGGACCTTTGTTGCATAAAGTCCCACCCAAAAGGCGGCAGTACGGGAACCCGTAGGTCCATCACGCCACGGCTTGCATGCCAGCCGCCTTGCCCCGCTCAGCCTGCGGGAGCTGGTGGCACCGCCGGAGGAGGGATGGCCGTTTCCAGCACTGATATGCTGTCCTGCCACGGGTCACCCGTTACAAGCTGGTTTTAAGCCGCAGATTGAAGCCAGATCCACACTAAAACCTGGCCCATGAAGTCTAAAGACTAAATAAGATTTCATGGCAAGCAGGCTGCCTGTTATTTGGAAGTGGGGACTGGAAAACCCACACTGCAAGATTCGGTTTTGCTGCCGCTGGTCACTAGATCTCTGAGCTCTCAAACGGCGGGAGGGAGCGTGGTTAAGAATTGGGGACAGGCAGCACGGACCCCTGGGGTCCAAACCCAGCCCTGGCACCATTGACCAGATTCTGACTTCACGGCTGCTGGTGTAAATCCAGAGTAACTCCATTGACTTACTCCATGGTTACACCAGTGGGACGGAGATCAGAATCAGGCCGGATATTTTCAGCAGAAGACACAGTTAAGACATTGTAAATGGTATCTAGGGAGAGAACACGGCATGGAACGTGCTGCGAGTCGGGGCGGTGCGAAGCAACGGCCATAGCCCTCACCCCCCTAGGCTTGCCCCAAACTCTGTGTCCTTGGGGTGTAGCTCCCCGCGCTGCGGACGCCAGCTGCGTTACACAATCAGGTCAAACCCAAGGCCAGATCCCCAGCCGTGTGAATGGGCGCAGCTCTTCTGACCTCAACGCACCGGCTGGGGAGCGGGCCCGCAGTGGTTGGGTCCCATGTTTATGGGGGACGCTTTCTCTTGAAGACTCGTGGATTACTGGGCCCAGGGCTCTGGTATCCTTGGGCGGACGGAGATAACACAGCCGGCCCTGGGGGCAGTAAACAGGATCAGAGGGGCAAACCGGGGTGGCGGGGGGAGAGGGGGGTCAGTGAGCAGCATGGCACAGACGCAGCATCCTGCAGCACGCCTCAGGCAGCCTCACCTCATCCCCATCCTCGCTCTCCTCCTCGCTGCTCGACTCCGACGAGTCCCCGCCTTCCTCAGACGAGTCCCCGTTGTCGTCGTCATCGTCGTCGTCATCCTCTTCCTCCTCGTCATCATCGTCGTCGTCCTCCTCCTCGGACTCCTGGGGGTCAGACGGACGTGGTGGGCGGATCTGGCCAGGCCTCGTGGCCCCCACCCCTCCCTGGAATCCCCACAATGAGTCCCGGGCCACAGAAAAGCAGGGCCTTCGGCTAATGGGTTAGGGCCCTCAGTGCAATAGACCCAGGAAACCCAGGGATTACCCAGTGCCTCATGGGATCTGTAGTTCGGGTGCCACGTGTTACCATTCTCCAATTGGGGCTCGGCTCCCCAGCTGGACTACATCTCCCATGATGCATGGGCTCCCTGCGCCAAGAGTACCATGGTGCATCATGGGAGATGTAGTCCTACAAGGGAGTAGGAGGCACCTGAACTGCAATTCCCAGACAGCACCATGGTGGCATTTCTAAAAACGTTTCCGTTTTTTGCTCTTGTTCTCCAAGCAACTCTTGCACCGACCCCTCCTCGCGGCCCGTCCCACTGGAGAGCTGCCCCTTCAGGTGGCAGGAACACACCAGGGAGTCGCCGGGGCCCAGGGAGGAGGACGAGGGCACTTACCGACTTGATCTGCATGGCGGGCTTCATTTTGGGGTTCGGCCCCCGCACCTTCCCCATGCTCTTGCGCTTCTGCGGAGGGAGGGAGGGGAAGAGGAAGAGTCAACGGGGAAACTCCGGAGGCTCCTCAGTCCCTCCCAGGAGGTCGGAGGTTAACCATCACCCCCACCCACAGAAAGGGCTTGGGTGGGGGAGAGCTTTTATAGATGCCTGGTTACTTCTCTTCCCAGCTCTGACACTGCCCTGCTGGCCGACCTCGGGCAAATTGCTTCCCCTTCTGTGAGCTCCGTTTCCTCTCCCTCCCTTGGTTCCCTGCGTCTATTTAGACTGGACGATCTGTGGGCCAGGAGTCTCTCTGACGAGGCATATGGACAGGGTTCAGGCCTCATGGTGCTACTGGAACATAACCAATTATGACTTTGTTCCCTCAAACTAAGGCTTTTTAAACCATCATCAAGGACAGCTCACACACACCCCTCTCCCCCCGTCGCAGGGGATACTCACATTTGAGGTGTGCTCTTTGTAGGCCGCTCGCTCCTGCGGCGACAGGCTCTGCCGAGACAGGAGACTAAAATAACCACCCGGAGGAAGGCGAGGGGGACGGAGCTACGTGACTGCGGGGGCGTTCCCAGCTCCAGGAAGGGGAGTTGTGCCGGAAAGGGGATGGGGGGGGGGGGGGGAAGCGAAGCCCCCTGGACCGTTGGGAGTGCAACAGCACCGCCCCTCTGTCCAGAGGGGGAATTTCCTTAGCCGCCTCTGCTTGGAAAGCACGACAGGGAGTTGGGGGAACAGAGTTACCGCTGGATCTGGAGCTGTGGCCACTCTGAAATCTCTCTCGGGCTGCCGTGCTGGGAGAGGGGAAGCGACCTTGACCCCAGGGACAGCATCTGTCACAGCCACAGACACGCGCCCTATGGCATGAATGTTGGGGGGAGGGGGGATGGTCTGGGTGCGCAATGTACGGAGAGAAGCTAAGTCAGGGACACTTGAAGCCTCATTTCCCAGTGGTGAGGGGTGAAGAAAGCCCCAAGGCACTTGGGAACAGAGAGGGGGAAGGGTTAGTGGGGGACAACAGGGATGGGGTACCTCAAAGGCCACGTACCCCGAAAGCATGAGGAGTGGACATCCCAGGGGCAGGGGTGGGGACAGGAAACCGTGCGTGGAGTCAGAGCAGTTCCGCCCCCCCCCCAGCCGCTCACCTTGAGCCAGATTTCCAGGTGCATCTTGTACTGCTTCTGCTGCTCCTCGGCCATCTTCTTGTAATAGTCCTTCTGGCCCTGGGAGATGCGCTGCCAGCGGCTGCCGATCTCCACCATCCGCTCCTTCAGCGGCAGGTGGTTGAGCTCGCCGTTCGACAGCAGCTCCTGGGAGAACTTCTGGTAACCGTTCCTGGGGAGGGGGAAGAGCAGGGTCAGAGCGCGGCCAGCCCCCCACCCAGCGAGGGCCCGTCCCAAGCACAGCCAGGCAGGAACAGGACCACACCCAGAGTCCTGACCCCCCATCCTTTTACTCTGATCACTAGACCCCACACTTGTCTCCCAGAGCCAGAAACAGAACCCGGGGATTCTGACCCCCCCGTCCCTCTCTTCCGACCACCAGACCCCGCTCCCCACCCCACACCTGAGCCAGAAACAGAACCCGGGGATCCTAACCACCTGTCCCTCTCCTCTGACCACCAGACCC